TTACCAGGAATGATCAAAAGAAGTGTCTCTGGCCTGTTGACACCTTGATCATTACTGAGGTCAGTCCAGTGCCCACATTTTATAACCAGTGTTTCCACTCCACCACACTGTACGAATTCCTCATGCACAGGAACTTCTTCCTCAACTTTTGAATCCATTTCTAAATAAAGGGAGACAAGCAACATAAAGAATTATTAAATTTAAAATCATAAATCAAAAATAATATTGAAGATTCGACCCAGAGCCCAGAACCAGTGTATGAGTGGGACTGCCCAGGGCCTCTGGTTCCTTATTCGACCTAGAACCCAGGCCAGATATGTAAGTGAAGCTATCTGGGGCCCAATGGATTCTCATTTGAGCCAGTGCCCAGGCCGGGGATGTGAGTGGAACTTCCTCCATCAGACAGGCTGGGTGTGGAACCCTACAGCAGAACTCCCTGCAAAGAGGCTAGAGGCAAGACCACCCAGCTGATCTAGGAGGAGAACATCTTGCTAGAGTGGCACAGAGGGTTTACCTCCAAGGGCTGCAGCACGAAGAAGTGGAGCACAGCAGTCAGACCCAAGCCACACCCACCTGGATGAGTTTGAATTTCATAGATTTGAACCTGGTGGTAAGATAAGTCTATCAAAGCTCTACACCAAAGGTCAGAAGACAGTGCTATACAAAATGACAAAGAGAATGAGTAAAATGCATTCTCAGGCCCCAAGCCCAACCAGAACAAATGCAGAAGACAACAGCACAGAAGAAATTGAAAATCACACACTTGAAATCTCTGAAATAATTGCGTCTCAATAAAGAAACAACTGCAGAAAAGTATAGAGGAAATCAGATCAGAAATAATATCTGAAGCACAAAAAAGAAATGATAACTACAATGAAATAAGTACTCAGTGCTTCTAAAGAAGACACTGAAAAAAAAATAGAGAATAGAAAAATGATGGAATCCTTGAATGAGCAATGTAGAAAAGAAATAGAATGCATGAAGCAGATTCAAAGTGATACACAGGAAATTAAAACCTCAATTGCAAGCTGGTAAAACCATTTGAATGAAAGTTAAAACAGACTTTCAGACCTTGACACTGTTGTAGCTAGTGAAAAGATAAGAATAGATCTCTTAAAAACAACTAAGATACAGGAAAAATAATCCAACATCTGCAAGACGATGTAAAGTTGAACATGAGACAATTAGGCATCAATAAGAAAGGAGTCAATACAAATGATATAAAAAGAATATGAACAGAATAGCAGAAAACTTCCCAAAAATGGGGAAACAATCTGACATTCAAGTAACGAAAGCATACAGAACTCCAAATAACATCAACCCAATTAAAACCACACCTGGACATATAATAATCAAGATCCCAGAAATTCAGCACAGGAACAGTATACTAAAAGTCACTAGAGAAAAGAAACAAATCACATTTAAAAGAAAACCCATCAGAATAACAGCAGATTTCTCTTTACAGACTATCAAGTTAAGAAGAGCATGGAGCAAAGTACTTTAAGTCTTGCAAGAAAACAAATTCCAACCCAGACTGATGTACCCTGCAAAGTATGATGGAGAAGTGAAACATTTCCATGACAAAGAACAACTAAAGAATTTCATGACAACAAAGCCAACCCTACACAGACTACTAAAAGATATTCTACGGAGTGATCAAAATGACCACAACTCTATGAACGAGAATGGAAAGAACCCACCAAATAGGGCATACAATTAAACACAGGAGAAAAAGAGATATACAAAACCAAAATATCTCCATCAGTATACTCTACAAATGGACTTCTCCTGCACCCTATGGGCATGATTCTGTTTGGGTCTACAGGGTGGGTATCAAGGAAATAGCAGGAGCTCAGTCCCATGAGTGGCACCTGGCCACCAGTAAGCGTCATAGACACTGTCCATGTCCACAACACACTAGAATTTGTGCAATAACCTATCCCCAAACTATTAGAAGTGCTGGTCGTATATTTGCCATTGCAGTATTTATGTTATGTTTTTTTTTCTTTTCAAAGTTTTATTGATAAACATAAAGC